TATCAGTGACAGCTGACAAGGCATACGGTCACAAGGAACTGGCTCCTGCACGGATCAAGACAGATTTGGAAGCTGCGGGGAAGGTAGTTGGTCTCCTAGAGAGTATTTAGTAACCCCTGGGCAAAAGAGTCCGATCCTACAACTCTGTCCACAGGTGTGACAGCGACTACGGAAGTACGCAATGATTTGCTTCAAGCCAGAGAGCGAGGCTAAAAGGTATTGAATGACTTTGTAATCAGTCGATTCTCACCTTTGCCAACAGCAAATTTCCTCGATCCTTTGAGAAAAATGAAGCTGAGGTCATTCAAAGATCTCAAGACTATCGCAGAGATTCGCACCAAGGATCTTGTGCTTCCCCTACAAATGGATCAAGCTTTGTTTGCGCGAATGGCTCAGCCTGGGCAGTTCCGGAAAATCGACATGAAAACAGTGTTAACGTTTCCTTTTGGAACTCTTCCCTGGTCCCTTGCAGATCCCTATGGTCTGCAGATCCCCATGGTCTGCCACAGAAGGCAAACAAGTCAAAGATTTCACAGCAACTCGAAAGGCGTATTGAGGTGACAGAAAGATATCCTGAAAATGCAACTAGCATATTTGATGGGATGGCCATCCTGCAGAAGTTCAAGCCTCCAGTTGGAGCCAGTTTCCCCGTTGTCCCAGAGGATTATTCGATAGAGTAACAAGCAACTGTAGCAAAGGGATAGATGTTGTGTTCGATGTATATTAAGAACAATCTATTAAGAATGTGGAGAGGTCAAAAAGGGCTTCAGGATCTGACGGAATCAAGTACAAGAACATTCTGCCTGGTTATAAGGTTATAAGTCATGGTTATAAGTCATGGAGCAAACTGTTGAGTATTGCCTCAAACAAGGTTGAGATTGTGAAGTTGCTTGTGTCTCAGTGGAAGAAGAAAGAGTTCAGGAGCAAGCTTGGTGACAGAAAATTGTATGTTACTATTCAGGATGAATACTGGAAGTTAGACTCCATCACGTCTGAGCCGGTTCCTGAATTCAAGTGCAGTCACGAAGAAGCTGATGATACAGATATCCAAATCCTACTTCTCAGCCATAATCAAGCCCTTGGAAAGTGTTACATAAAGAAAGGCAGAAGCACGAAGACTACAATAATTGAAC